GAAAATCCTGGCCACCTCTTAAATTTGATCACATAGGCATTTAGGCAAAGTCATGGTCTATATAACATAAGCATGATAGTTATGAGGACGAACTTGGCCAAAGTTAAACGCCTTGTAAAGGAAAAGAGGTTAGCATTTCATGTAGATAACTTTTGGTTAATCTTCTCAAGGATGTAATGATAAGTATCTTTATTGATTCTATCATGTAACAATAGAACTCCCAAATACTTACCAATATTATTGAAGACTTGAAAATCAAACATCTTACTAATACGACGAGCCTCACTCATGGTAACATTGCGAGAAAAAAAAGTAAGTATTTTAGTCACACTCACTTTGTGGCCCGAGCTCGCACAGAATTCCTCTAAAACCTTCTTTATAACCTGAGTCTGGTCCTCAGTGGCTTTTCCAAGGATTACCAGGTCATCCGTAAAAAGGAGTGTGAGAGGACAGGGCCTTATGAAGGTAGATCAGCTTCCACATGCCATTTCTTACCTAGGTGTTGATGCAATGGGATAGTCATTCTATGCATAACACAAATATGTAGGGTGAAAGCGAGTCCTCTTGTTGCATGTCTCTAGTAGGTCGTAACTCCTGAATGAGACAATCGTTCCATAACAATTGCATAGAGCAAGAGTAGATACACTGCATGATGACTCGAATAAGGTTAGGAGGGAGACCAACATCAAGCAGAGTGTCCTCCACATATTCCCAACGGATGCGATCATAAAATTTTTCTAAGCCCACCTTAATGGTCATCCACTTGTCTTTACCTTGCAAATGTTGCATAGAGTGGACCACTTCTTTGGCAATAATAATGTTATCCATGATATTCCTACCGACTACAAAGCTAGTTTGTGTAGGGCCAACCAAAAAAGGCATTAGTTTCTTGAGTCTATTGGCAATGAGTTTAGTAATGATTTTATATAAAACCATTAATAAACTTATATGACGAAATTCTTTAATAGTCTCTAGTCTTGCAAATTTAGGGATGAGGGTAATAAGAGTCTTGTTAATCTCAGCAGGTAACTATTTGCTATGAAAGATACCCTTGACCATTGCATAAACTGACTCGCCTACGTCTCCCATTTGTTTTGGAAGAACGTCATGTGAAGGCCATCCACTTCGGGGGCCTTCAATGGGTGTATGCTAAATAAAGTGTCATAAATTTCATGGTTCGTTATCTTAGAGTTCAACTAAGCAATCATAGTAGCTGTTAACTTCGAGAATAAGCCTCTAATAGGATAATGTGGTATGGGTCCCTCTTCGGCCATATAAAGGTACTCAAAGAAGGTGGAGGCCATTATCCGAAGCTGGCCTTCATCAGTACTCCAATTACCATTCTCATCCTTAAGCATACTAATTTTATTCTTTTTTTCTTTTAGAGATGGTTTGAGCATGAAAATATTTAGTGTTCCTGTCCCTAAAAGAAATCCAATTACATTGGGATTTTTGCTTCCAGAGCATTTCTTCTTGTAATAACACCTTATTTAATTTCTATTTCAAGTATTTCTCCAGCTCTTAGAGTCTAACAAAGTGGTGATTTTATAGTGCCCGTTGGATCCCATTCAGTTTTGTCAAGAGGATGCGTTTTCTCTTAGTGATATGGCCAAACACATTTATATTCTACTCCTGCACACTCTCGCTAAAATTACTAATGTTCTTTTGAATGGGAAGATGGTTTTGTTAAT